ATCCCCCCTGGGGGGTGATTTCTTGCTTTCTGTCTGTCTCTGTCTTTCTGGCAAGCGAACGCACTCTATAGCAAAATCCTCTTCAAAAAAAAAAAAAAAAAGACTTTGGGAATACCCTCATGCCTAGTGATTGAAGGAGCCAGATCCCACATGGCTGATGCAACAATTCGAGTCTTGGCCCAGCAGCTTCGAAAACATACCAGGCATATGTGCATGGGATTGGATTCTGCAAATCCTGACAGGATGGAGAACAGAGGAGAGTGGGCTGTGGTGTAACCATACCCCCATTTAGAGGGTGCTTTCTCCCCCTCTCTGTGTCTCTCTGTTCCTCTGGTGAGTACACATGCCTTTTGGCAATAAAGAAAACAAAAAAGAACTTTTCTTCCCCTTTTCTGTTTTTTTAGTGACATAATCTATGGACCTAGGTATTTTGTTCCTTTTTTTAAAGTGTGTGTGTGTGAGAGAGAGAGAGAGAGAGCTAGATAGGGCAGGTGGGAAGGAAAAAGAGATAAGTTGTTTTTTTTTTTAAGAGGTTTTTGCTATAGGGCGTGTGCGCTCGCCAGACAGAGAGAGACAGAGAGACAGAAAGCAAGAACTCACCCCCCAGGGGGGATGGCCACGCTACAATCCCTTCTCCTCCATTCTCCTCTCGGGATCTTGGGCACGCACGCACACACACCCTGCGTGAGTTTGAAGCCACCGGGTCCGGGACGCGAACCGCGGTCGACTACATGGGAGTCCAACGACATAGCCATTATGCTAACTGCTGGTCCCAAGATATAAGTATTTTGGCAGGGTCTTGGCATGTCATAGTCCTTCCTTCCGCAACCTCCCAATCAGCTAGGACCACAGGCATGGCCCACTGTGCCAGACCTGTTTAGGTTGGTCTGGGAACTGAAGCCAGGTCTCCCATGCAGTCCCAGCCATCACCCAATGTGCTCTTCCTCTTGCACCACTGGGGCTGGCCAGACATCATTCCTTCTGATGCTTATATCATCCTAAATTTGGTTAAGGAATTCCCCCTAAATAGGGTCCACCATGCCTTTGCCATACCTCGTTCATCTTTGCAAACTTCCTTGCTTTCTGGCATGAACTTTTTCTTCTAGAATTCCTAGTCCCTTATTTTCTTTTTTTGTTTAAGAATTATTTAATTTTATTTATTATTATCATTATTATTTAATTTGTTATAGGGCACATACAACTCACTAGAGAGAGACAGAGAGAAAGAGGAAGCAAGCAGCCAGGGCTGGGATACAAACTGTGACGGCCATGTAGGAGTCTAGCACCCTAACCACCATGCCACCAGCTGGTCCAGTTCCTTTTTATCTTTTCTTTTCTTTTTTTAATTTGCCAGAGGGTACAGGTGATCTCCAGAGAGAGAGAGAGAGATGAAGAGAGAAGGAGAAAGCACACCACAATGGGGCGTGATCGCACTGCAATCTCTTCTCTATTTCTCCACCCTGTCAATATTTGGAACATGCACACATACATGCCCCAGTGTGTTTGTCAAGCTGATTTGTCTTGTTTTATTTATTTATTTATTTTTAATTTTTAATTTACATTTAATCACGTATCTCTTTACAGGGTACAACCTTTTTTCTTCCAGCATGAATACTATGCATATCAGTCAAGACAAGGATATTACTATATACATTATTGTCAGCAATTAGCTTTTCATTTTTTTGTCAATTAAACATGCTTTTACTTTTTTTCCTTCCCCTTTTCCCTCCCCTCTCCCATATTAAACTTTTTTTACCTTTAGTTGATTCACAAAAGATCTTAATTAAACTAAAAATATGGGCAAAGTTAAAATCTAGTGACAAGTGCATTGTAATTTTCTTCTGAAACATTTTTTCTCTCTCCATTCCCCTTTTTACTAAAGAGAGGAATAAACAAACTTATTTGCAATAAATAAATAAATAAATAAATAAGTTTAGTCTCATTTGGTCTTTTATTTGTACAAAGCCTTTTTTTTTTTTTGGAGAGATTTTCACTGTAGGGCGCGTGCGCTCGCCAGACAGACAGAGAGAGACATAGAGACAGAAAGCGAGAAATCACCCCCCAGGGGGGATAGTCACGCCGCAATCCCTTCTCCTCCATTCTCCTCTCAGGATCTTGGGCACGCACGCACATGCGCCCGGCGTGAGTTTTAAGCCACCGGGTCTGGGACACGAACCGCAGTCGACTACGTGGGAGTCCAGCAACATAGCCATTACGCTAACTGCTGGTTCCCTGAAAATTCAATTTCTGATGCAAGGCAAAGACACTATTGTTTTATTGAACTTATGCAGATAACCATTCTGCCACAAAATAAGAATGCTCACCAATATTTTCCAATTGCAGATAGGTCAGGAAGGGAGGAAAGTTTATGTTTCAGTTTAAAAAAAAATTTAACAAATTGCTGAACCTATCAACAACTCAAAAGAAAGCAAAATCCTTAAATCTAGAAGACAAAGTATAGAAGAAAATCAGTAAGGTTTTAATCAAAAGTCATACAATTCTTTTTTACCAGTTCAGTCTCATGTAATTAATCTCTCTTTTGTTGAATTTGCAGTGTTAGTATGGTTTGATCTTTCCATTTAAATCCTGGATGTTAACATTCAACATTTTAATTGACATTTCTGGACTTGTCCCTACCACTGAGTTGACCATTTTCTTGGTCATTTTTTTGTTCTCTCATTTCTGTGTGTCTGTCTTTAGTTTTCCTGGTATAGCACTCCCTTCAGAACTTCTTGAAAAACTGGTCTGGTGTTGGAAAATTCTTTCAGGTTTTGTTTATCTGAGAATGTTTGAGGTTCTTCTTCCCATATGAAGGATAATCTTGCTGGATAGTGTTCTTGTTTGAAATTGTTTTTCACTTAACACTTTGAATATATTTTCCCATTCTTCCTTGCTAGCATTGTTTCTGATGAAAGGTCTGATGTTAGCCTGGTGGGATATCATTTGAAAGTAACTTAATAATTCTCTCTTGCCAATTTTAGTATCTTGTCTTTGTCTGTGGTTTTGGTCAATCTGGCTATGATGTGCCTTGCGGAAGTTCTTCTTGGGTTGATTCTATTTGGGATCCTTTGTATTTCTTGGGTCTGGATATTTGAATGCCTCTCTAGGTTTGGAAAGTTGTCTTTCAGGATTTCATGGAATAAATTATCAATGTCCTTATTAGTTTCTTCACCTTCTGGAATACCAGTTATTCAGATGTTTGGACGTCTAATGATTTCTCGTTTATTATTCTCATTTTTGGGAGTTCACTTCCTCAGTCTTTTGGTGAGTTTTTCTAGGTCAGAGGTTTTGTCTTCTAGATCTGAGATTCGAGCTTCTGTGGGATCTAATCTGCTTTTAATACTTTCAAGGGAGGTTTTGTTTCATTATTTTTTGTGGTGTGTATTTCCTCTTTCAGATTGTGGAAGAACTTCCTCACCTCCTGGAACTTGTTGTCTCTTTTCTCCTGCATCTTCTGGAGTTTGTTGTCTCTCTTCTCTTGCATCTCTGTTAGCTTTGTCACTATGAATATTCTAAATTCTTTTTTTAAAAAATAATTGTTTTATCTAGTTTCATTCATTGTCATTATTTTATTTTATTGAAGTTGACCAAAGAGACAGAGAGAGAGAGAAGGAAAGCGAGAAAGCAAGCTGCCAAGTCTAGGACTTGAACAGTGGTGGAGTCTAGCCAGCCCAACTACCATGCCACTTGCTGGCCCCAGAATATTCTAAATTCTTTATCTAACATTTCTACAAGTTCCATTATACTGTCTGTGGATGATAAAGAGCTTTCTTTTCCCTTGAGGGAGAGATATTTTCTTGATTTTCACCAATTCTTGTGCTTTTGCAGTGGTTTCTGGTTATCCGATGGATTATACACTTCTTCCTACTTTCTTGGAGTTAATTCTGAGTGCTAGAGGCAGGCAGGAGGAGATGACCCACGATATCTCTGCAGTTCTGTTTTCCTTATGTTCACCAAGCAAACTGCACTTCTGTCGATGGAACTTTTTTCTGCAGCTGTAAGCTCACATGCTTCCCTTTACTGTGAGGTACTTCTATGCCAGTTTCTCCTCTGCTGTTGTGTTCTGCAACGTGGTAGCCACAGAGATTTGAATTTTGATTCATGAAGATGAATTTTTCTCTTTCTGTAGCAGTTCAGTAGGGGCTGAGGTTTTCTATGACCCTAAAAGTATTCATATGGTTCACTACTGTGCACCTAGACCTGTCTAGACTCTCAAAGTATGGAAGTTGAGAAGCAAAGTGAGAAAGTTAGGTGAAAGAAAAGGAAACAGAGGGAAAAAGACAAAAATAAATAAATAAATAAAATTAAAAGGGGATTTTTTTTTTTTAATGGCAAAAAATGACAGAATAGTTACGTTGCTGGACTCCAATGTAGTTGACAGTGGTTTGAGTCCGGGGCCCACGACTTTAAAACTCATACTGGGCACGTTTGCATGATGCTCAAAATCCCAAGAGGAGAAGGGATTGTGGCATGGCCATCCCCTCTGAGGGGATGATTTCTTGCTTTCTGTCTCTCTGTTCCTCTCTGTCTCTCCAGCGAGCACATGTGCCCGATAGCAAAAACCTCTCTACATAAAAAAAAAAAAAAGGCAGAAAATGAAAAAATGAAAATCAGAGCCAGAAAGAAGATAGAAGCTGTCCTACCTCACTAGGTGGTGGGCTGGAAGGAGAGTTTGGAGCAGAGGCACTTCAGTTAAAGGAGCCAGCTGGGCCCACCTCAGACATAGATGGATTCTCACTAGGTGTTGGGTTATAAGCCAGCACCAGGATTTGAACTGTGGTTGGTCATGTGAGATTTGGCTGCCAGGGCATGGATGCCAGGCCATGGAACTGGCCCTGGCCCTTAGTTCCTTCTTGTGAGCAAATTTAGATACTAAGGTCTGAGAGCTAATTGTGGTCTTTCTCTACTTCTTAAGGAAATTTAATTTGCTATTTTCAGTCCTGAACCTGTAATGACATTTACCTTCTTTTTGGGGGGGATATCTTTTTTTAAAAATTTAGTTTGATGAAGAATTTCTGGAAACAAAAGAACAGTTGCAAAAGTTGCAGGATGGTGAGTATGGAAATGAGACTATGGTAATAGCTGATATTTCTTTTTACAAAGAACTAATATTTATGTCCAAGGACGGCGATATTGAACGCATTCAGGGCAGTATCCTAAAACTAGAAAAACAGGGGAGAATGAATAGCTGAAATTGTCAGCAAATCACTTATTCAGTAGTTCTAAAAAAGCTAGCTGAGTGGAGGGAGCAGTTCCTTCTCAGAACTCAGCTGAAGAGCTCTGTATCTCCTGCCCTCCTCCCAGCCTCTCCCCTTTTTTCTTTCTCTTCCTTGACCCCCTCCTCTCCTTCCACCCAACTTCACCTTTCTTTCTATCCCTTGACTCCCCCCCACCCCCACTTCCACCCAACTCCTTTGCCTCATTGCCTGCCTCCGGTATGAAATAAATGTCCCTATTCAACAGGCTACATTTCTGAAGCAAATGCCAAACAGAAGTGAAATCAACAAAAGGTTCCCCTTTAGCCCCTCTACCCTGGTCAGCCCTGCTCTCTCCACATCCCTCCTCTTGTTGTTTTGTTTTGTTTTGTTTGTTTGTTTGTTTTTAAGAGATTTTTGCCATAGGGCACATGTGGAGAGAGAGAGACAGACTTGGTGATAGAGAAGGTGAGAAATCACCCTCACCAGGGGAGATTCTCCTCCTAGGATTTTGGGAACTCATGCACACATACCCGGCATGATTTTCAAGCCACTGGGTCTGAGATTTGAACTGTAGCCAGCCATATGGGAGTTCTAGTGACACAACCACTATGTCATCTACTGGTCCCTACATCCGTCCTCCTTAGGGGGGCCACCAGCAGGCCCATAAGGCATTTTTTTAAAATAATAATTTATTTATTTAATTCCATTTGTTATTATTTTTTCATTTGAGCAGAGATAGAAACAGAAAACGAGAAAAGAAGTTGTCAGGTCCGGGACTTGAACTGCAGTCAGCTATGTGGGACTCCAGCACCTTTAATCACCATGCCACCTACTGGTGCCTGCCCCACCTCAAGGCATTCTTAGCAACCCTATGAGCATCCTTCTTCCCAGCCATCAGTAGGGTTTCCAGGCTCAACTCAAGGCTCTCTTGAGGGGTATCCACTCTCTAGAGTGTAAGGCCAGCTTTCATGTGTGACACCGGCCTAAAGTCACAAGGATTACTGAGTACTCTTCTCTCATGTCCCTCCCCCTGCCCCCACCCCCAACACCTGAGCCCCTCCAGGACTGGGCTGCACCCTGCGTCTGCATCTCTCCCCAGGGCCTGGTGTGTGCAGAGTGTTGGCTGCAGGTTTGTTGAAGAAAGTACTGTGTTGTCCATTGACCACTGTCAGCAAATTTGGTAGGAAAGTGATCTGTGACTGTGGAACAGCCAGAAACGAACCTAGAGAAGTTAACAGGAATAGATGACGATCTGGTGACTTAGGATTCAGGATCAGGTTGTCTAAAAGCAATGCCACCTGGGGCCAGCAGGTGGTGTAGCAGGTAAGGCATTGGATTCCCAAACAGCGGACTGTGGTGCCAGTCCTGGACCCAGCGACATGAAAATCACACCAGGTATGTGTGTGTGTGTGTGTGTGTGTGTGTGTGTGTGTGTGTGTGTACATGTCCAAAATCCTGAGAGGAGAATGGAGGAGAAGGGTTTGAGGTTTGGCTATTCCTCCTAGGCAGTGGTTTCTCACTTTCCCGCTCTGTCTCTCCAGTGAGCCCACATACCCTATGACAGAAACTCCAAAAAATAAAGCCTCCTTATAGACTGTTCTACAGTTGGAAATGCCCTGCTCTACACTGTCCAGTGGGTAACTACCAGCCACACTTGACTGCTGAGTACTTCAAATGTGTCTCGTGTGACTGAGGAACTGAATTTAAAATTAAAAAAATATTTTAATTAGTTTCAATTTAGGTTTTAATAGCTGCATGCACCTAGTGGTGACCATTGCCAACTGCAGTTCTAAAATCGAATCTTCATTATGTTTCTTCCAGCCCTTCTCATTTGAGTAGATGCTTTTTTTTCTGGGGTGAAAGTGAAAAGGTAGGTTTATAACAATGCTAGTTTTCAGGCTTTTGTGGCGGAATCTGCTTCCCAGAGCTAAGTTAAAGTTACCTGTCATCAGGGAGCTTTATACTGTTTCCTAACGCCCACGCCCCTTGTCCATTTTTATTTAACACAGCATCGTTTTAGGGTTGGAAGGACAGGGAAGAGGAGATCAGGGTTTTGTTTTTTTTTTAAGAATTATTCACTTAATTTGATTTATTGTTATCATTCTTTAATTTGATCAGAGAGAGACAGACAGAGAGAAAGCAAGCTGCCAGGACCAAGACTTAAACCATGGTAGGCCATATGGGAGTCCAACGCCTTAACCACCACACCACCTGCTGGCCCCAGAAGAGACCATTTCCTCTTTTTTCCCTTAAGAATTATTTCATTTAATTTCATTTATTTATCATCATTGTTATGATAATTATTATTATTAGTTTTGATCAGAGAGAGAAGGTAAGAAAGTAAGCTGCCAGGTCCAGGACTCAAACCACAGTTGGCCATGTGGAAATCCAGTGCCCTAACCACCATGCCACCTGCTGGCCCCCAGAGGAGATCACTTCTAATTTTAGGTTTTCATTTTCAGGTAACCACCTGCTGTTCCAGCAAGTGCCTATGGTTGAAATTGATGGGATGAAGCTGGTGCAGACACGAAGCATCCTCCACTATATAGCGGAAAAGCACCAGCTCTTTGGCAAGGACCTCAAGGAGAGAACCCTGTACTGTGGCCCATTTCAATTCCTCTCCCCGATGCCTTAGTGGATTAGCAATCCTGTGCAGCACACTCCACCTACTTGATGTCTTATATTTTTAGTGTGAACAAGGAACACAGATCTGGAAAGGTCATGAAGTCTGATTGGAAATTTAGTATAGCATCTGAGTACAACAGTAGAAAAAATTCAAATTCAGATACTGAATTATCTAGGGTGTCATTGTTTCAGATTTCAACATCTGTAAATGGTTGAATAATTGCTTTTTACCTGTTTTGCAAACTTACTATTGCTGAATATTGGAAGGGGAAGCCGTTATGACATTGAAGGCCTGAGATAGTGTGCACTGAATTATAATTGAAGCTCAAAGCCAGGACCTCACATTTCTTACCATGGCCCTGGGCACTGTTAAGCTCTAGCTTCTTGATGAGTTTTCTGTACAATGGGTTTAATAACAGCTCATTCCTCAGAGTGTCATGCGCCCAGTGAGATAAGGGATAAGGGTGTTTAGCACCGTGCTGGTCAGAACACTCCATGCTTCTACTGTGTGCTTGGAGTTGAACATTCAGTAAGTGATATGCAGTGTTTTTATCACTGTGAAGTTCAGCCACACCCAGAGTAGGTGCTGGGTGAGGGTGGAGGACTGGGTGTTGGGAGACTGTAAAATTGTGACTACCATGCTTTCTAAATGGTTGCTGATTCTCCTGGAGAATTTTTCTCAGTGCAACCGGGATTGACCTTGCATCTTTGCACTTCACAGACAGGTGTAGATCACTGCTTCTTGGTACTTTCATTGCCAGAACCTTAAGAAAAAGCACTCCAGAATTCATCCTAAGTTGTAAAAGCTGGTAAATTCTAAGAGAGGGAAACCGAGAAACTGCTTTTCTGTTTTAAGGATTGACATGTACGTGGAGGGCTTGCTGGATCTGCTGGAACTGATTATCATACATCCTTTCTTGAAACCGGATGATCAGCAAAAGGAATTGGTTACCATGGCCCAGAAGGCTATAATTAGATACTTTCCTGTGTTTGAAAAGGTAGGTGGCAGAGAAGCCTAGGAACAGAGCATAACCAAGCCGTGCGGGAGCTGCCACAAACACCCTTTTGTGCCCAGGGCAGTGTAAAGTTGAGCCCAGCTGGTCTCATGGAAGAGGGAACGGGCTCACAGGAGTTCATAGTAGCCATCAGCACTGATGTCTCAGAGTGCCCCCCACCCAATCAGGACCACGTTAGTCAGAGGTCTAGAAAAGTGTGGGCTCAGCCCGTTAGTGCTTTGCTGTACCCTGCGTTTACCAAGCGCCCCCTCGTGTAAGATACAGAAAAGCAGAAACTGCCACATTCATTCATTCAACAAACATTAGTTGAGTGACGATGACATGTCAGACATCTTTCTTGATTATTTTGATATAAAGAGAAACACCATTTCAGTTTTATTTCTCTTCCCTTTGCTCTTTTTATGCCGTTCGGTTATTTTCTTCTTCTTATGTCTGCTTTTCTGAGCCTCAGATTTCTCTTTTCCTGAACAGGAAGGAATTTTCTTTTTTTTTTACTGTTGCAATTCAAAATATATATATATTATATATGTAAATATATATGGGAAGGCCTATTTGGCAAACCTCCTTTGACTATCTTCATGGAACTATTGGGTTGTTGGAAAAGTAATGATGCATTTTTGCATAGAAAAACATGCAAAATATATCATGATTTTTGTGACAGCCCAATAGATTTAGGAAAAAGAGAGGGCCCAGCTGAGGTGGCACAGGCAGTAGGAGGCTGTTGCTGATGCCGTAGCTACATGGAAGGCCCGGGTTCAGATCCAGTGGTGAGAGCGTGCATCTGTAATTCTGGCTCCCTGAAAGGCTAGAACAGCAGCATCATAGCTTGGAGAGACCCTGTCAAAATCTGTCTCTCTCTCTCTCGTGAAAAACAAAAAGAAAAAGAGTGGGATTTTCTGTAGCTTGGCTTCATGATATCTTTCCCATAGATACCACATGCATGTAAAATATGGTAATGTAAAAAATGTATGGCCAGGGCACAGAAGGCCCAGTACCTTGATGACAAATTACTGCTGGATCTTATGGTCCGGTGGCCCAAACTGTGTTAGGATTCCTTACAACACATCTGTGAGGCAAAAAAAAAAAAATTTTTTAAGAATTACATATTTAATATTCCTTATTTTTATTTTTTAAATTGTGCTACAGCACACATATGCTTACTAGAGAAACAGAGAGAAGGAAAGTGAGAAAGCAAGCCACCAGGTCTGGGACTCGAATCGCAGTCGCCCATGTGGGAGTACAGTGTCTTAAGCACCATTCCACCTGCTAGCCTGGTAAAAATAGTTATCAGTACTTCTTGCATATACTGAAATGGAATCACAGAGTTAATGGCTGGTCCAACTTGTGATAAGGCTAGAAGACAGCCCGGATTGGCACTCTGGCTTCTAAGTACAAATTCTGGATTCCTTGTAAAATACTGCTCCAGCTCCGGGACCTATATTTGATTTGGAGCTATATTCAGACACACTCACGTGTGTACACATGTTCTTGTGGTCATCCACGAGTTTACTGCCAAGGGCTTCTCCCCGTTGCTTTCACCAGATCACAATCTGCTCCTTTTTTAAAGAGAGATTTTTGCGATAGGGCACATGTACTTGCCAGAGAGAAAGAGAGAGAGAGAGAGACTGAAAGTAAGAAATCACTCCCGGGGTGATGGCCATGCCACAGTCCCTTCTCCTCCATTCTCATCTTGGGAGTTTAAGCAAGCACACACATGTACCTGGCATGAGGTTTTTTTGTTTGTTTTGTTTTTGTTTTAAATAATTATTTATTTAACTTTGTTTATTATCATTATTTTTAAAATTTGACCAGAGATTGAGAGAGAGAGGGAGAGGGTAAGTGAGAAAGCAAGCTATCAGGCCCAGGACTCAAACAGTGGTCGTTCATGTGGGATTCCAGCACTTAACCCCCATGACACCTGCTGGCCCCAGCATGAGTTTTAAGCCAAGTCCGTGACTGGAACTGCAGTGGACTGTGTGGGAGTCCAGCAACGTAACCATTACACCATCTGCTGGTCCCCAATTTGCTCCTCTAAATCCATCCTTTTGTATGTTACTCTCACAGTGTGAGTCAAGGGAAACTGAAGTTTCAGTCTTCTCTGTTTGGAGAGCTGTGACAGGAAGGTGGGGCCTGTGCATGACTGTGAGTCCTGACGGTCGGTGGAACACAGACCTGGGGAACAAGAGTAGGCCCCTTGGAGCTGAGCCATCACTTAGACGTCCTACATTACTCTGCCCCTCCCCAGTCTCTTGGATTCATCAGGGCCAATTCGTTTCTGTAGACACATTTATGGAATAGATGCATCCTTTTAGAACACTGAAATGGTAAATCTTCCCTTCCCCCTTTCAGGGTCTTGTTAGGATCTATGGCAGGCATTTAAGGATATATTCATTTCCATACCTTTTTGCTTCCCCTCTCTCAGATGTTATTCTTTCTCTCTTAACTGATGTTACTTATGAAAGGATGAAAGGACAAGGCTGTAACTTCAGATACTCCACTGACTTAATAGCTTCATCAGTTTCTCTACGTATTTTAACTAATGCAAACCATTTATACCCTGCAGGTTTTAAGGGGTCATGGACAAAACTTTCTGGTTGGTAATCAGCTGAGCCTTGCAGATGTGATTCTACTCCAAACCATTTTGGCTCTGGAAGAGAAAATTCCCAATATCCTGTCTGCGTTTCCTTTCCTCCAGGTAAACAAAACCATATAGCAGAAGATTGGCCCCAAGCTCATGGGCCTTGCTTCACTGCGCTGTCGATTGCCTGGTGTGGTGTGTGTGGGATGTATGTGTATGTGTGTATTGTGTGTGTGTGTGTGTGTGTTTTATTCTAGTTAGTAAAATGAAATGAAGATACAGCCTGAGTTTGTTTTTATGATCCCCAAATCCTTAGTGTTGATAGATCGTTATATGTGAAAAAAGTTTTCATTGTATGCCATGGCTACACTCTTGGGCAAACTCCTTACACAGAGAGTCTGCCATGGAGGATTTCCACAGAGACAGTCATAGGGATGAAGAGCTCCTCACCTGTGTGTGCTTTGTCTGCTGATGGAGGGCCCGTGAGGTCAGCATCAGAATCAGCCTCATTCTCAGGGCACAGCCCCTTTCTCAGGGTCCCAATTTAGAAACTTCTTAGCCTGTATTCAGAGAGCAAATAAGATATACCCTACACATCACCCTAAGGAGTTCCCACTGCTCTCCTTTCCACAGTTCCAAGGAAAGACTGTGTGCAGTTGAGCGTATTCTCTGGTGTTATTCTGGCAAGATTGTTTGTAGAATTTAAAAGCAGAAAAGGGCTTTAAGTGGCGTAAGGGTTATGGTCAACCGTGATTCAAGTCCTGAACCCTGCAGCGAAACTCACACTGGGCATGTGTGCGTGCATGCCCAAAATCCTAAGAGGAAAATGGAGAAGGGATATGGCATGGCCATCCCCCCTAAAGAGTCATTTCTCGTTTTCTGTCTCTGTTTCTCCAGCAAGTGCACATGGCCTATAGCAAAAATCTCTAAAATAATAATTAATTAATTAATTAATTAATTAATTAAACCAATTCATCTGATGTCTTCAGTTACACACAAGGAAATAGAGACTAGGATAAAGAAGTCAGCACTGAAATGGCCTAGCTAGTGAGCACTTGAATTTTACCTAGAATCTTTGCCTTTTAAGTCTAATGTGGTTTCTTCCATAGTTACTGGACTATAACCAGGGCCTCTGGGCCAAACCTGGCTTGCCACCTGTTTTTGTACAGTGAACTAAGAATAGTTTTTACATTTTAAATGGTTGAAAAAAATTAAGTAGTATTTCATCACATACAAAACATATGAAATTCAAATTTCAGTGTCCATCAGTAAGTTTCTCATTCTTTTTAATTTGCTGAAGGGCATGAGTTTCCCTAGAGAGAAACATGAGGGGTGGGGGGAGTGAGAAAGTACGCCCCGTGGGGAATAATCATGCCACAGTCCCTTCTCCATTCTCCTGTCAGGATTTTGTACGTTTGCACACGTGCCCTGCGTGTTTCTCAAGCCACTTGGTCTAGGACTTGAACCACGTAGTTGGCCCTATGCGATCCACCCTTCTTAACCTCCAGGCTGACTCCATAAATAATTTGTTTGTTTGTTTGTTTTAGTTTTATCATAGGGCATGTGTGCTTCCTAGAGACAGAGACAGAAATAGAAAGAGGGAAAAGTGAGAAATCACCCCCAGCCCCCGGGAGGATAGCTGTGCTGCAGTCCCTTCACCTCCATTCTCTTCTTGGGATTTTGAGTACACATGCACATGCACTTGTACCTGGCATCATTTTCAGGCCGCCAGGTCCAGGACTAGAACCATACACTAAGCCATGTGGGATCCAATGCCTTAACTTCCATACCACCTGTTGGCCTTATATAAGTTTTATAGGGATCAGCAGATGACATAATGGTTACGTTGTTGGACTCCCACATATGTGACTGCAGTTTGAGTCCCGGACCCAGTGACTTAAAACTCACACTGGGCGTGTGCATGTGTACCCAAAATCCTGAGAGGAGCCTGGAGGAGAAGGGGTTGTGGCATCTCTCTGTCTCTCTGTCTATCTGGTGAGTGCATGCATCCTATAGCAAAAACCTCTCTAAAAATAAGTAACTAACTAAAAATAAGTTTTATTGGCACGAAGCCTGGCCCCTTCATTTACACTTTGCCTGTGGCTGCTTTTGAGCTCCTACAATAGAGTTGAGTAGATCAGAGAGAGACCATATGGCCTGAAAGCTTAAAATATTTTCTGACTGATTCTTTATAGGAAAATTGCCAGTCCCCAGTATAAACCAAATTGACATTTCTTTGACCAAGTTATCAAAGGCTAAGAGAGACATACCAAATCCCAAAAGAGTAACATCCTTTTTTAAAATAATAATTTTTCCAAATCTAGTAAACATCATTTTTTTTGGAGAGGTTTTTGCTGTAGGGCGCTTGTACTCGCCAGACAGACAGAGAGAGACAGAGAGACAGAAAGCGAGAAATCACCCCCCAAGGGGGATGGCCACGTCGCAATCCCTTCTTCTCCATTCTCCTCTCGGGATCTTGGGCACACACGCACACGTGCCCAGCGTGAGTTTAAGCTACCGGGTCTGGGACTCAAACCACGGTCGACTACCTGGGAGTCCAGCGACATAGCCATTACGCTAACTGCTGGTCCCCCAAAACATCATTTTGATATGTTAAAAAGGACACCACCACCAGTTAAATAAATACATCTGAATATTGAGAATAGAAATTTTTGACAAGTCAAATAAGCCATTATATATATAATTTATGATGTTACCATTTATATGTGTGTGTGTATATATATATATATATACTTACATAAGTATAAGTATATGTATATACTTATAAGTATATGTACATATATACACACACTAATATAAGTATATGTGTATACATATACTTATATCTATTTTTTGTTTATTTGTTTGTTTTTTTTTTTTTTTTTGAGAGGTTTTTGCTATAGGGCGTGAGTGCTCACCAGAAAGACAGAGAGATAGAAAGCAAGAAATCACCCCACAGGGGGAATGCCCACACCGCAATCCCTTCTCCTCCATTCTCCTCTTGGGATCTTGGGCACGCATGCACACGCGCCCGGTGCGAGTTTAAGCCACTGGTTCTGGGGCTTGAACCACAGTCGACTACGTGGTAGTTCAGCGACATAACCATTACACTAACTGCTGGTCCCGTATATTTATATATTTTTTTACATACATGTTAATTGTTGCAGACACAGATGAAGTTTCTTTAGTTTGAATTTTTTGTTTGTTTGTTTTTATGAGAGATTTTTGCTTTAGGGCGTGTACGCTGGCCAGATAGACAAAGACAGAGAGAAAGCTAGAAATCACTCCCCGGAGGATGGCCATGCCACACTGCAGTCCCTCTTCCAGTCTCCTCTCAGGATTTTGGGCACTCACACACATGTACTCAGTGTGAGTTTCAAGCCACTGCCTGGGACTCAAACCGCCGCGGTTGACTACATGGGAGTCCAGCAATGTAACCTTTATGCCATCTTTTATAATTCAGAATTTTGGATACTTTTGAACTGAAGTATCCTTTTGCACTATTAAATAATTGCTTATCAGGGAAAGAAATAAGGAGAAGCAACCTGCTATTTATTGAGTGTCTGCTTCTTTCCAGTTGGCCTGCTAGTCTTTTTTTTTTTTCCTTATTTGCCTCTGGCAACATGTACTCACCAGAGAGACGAGACACGGAGAGAGAGAAAGTGAGAAAGCATTCCCCAGGGGAGATGGCCACACCACAAACCCTTCTCCTCCATTCTCTCACCGGGATTTTGGGCACTCATGCACACGTGCCTGGTATGATTTTCAAGCCACCAGGTCTGCGACTGAAATCATGCAGTTGGCCATGTGGGATCCAGCCACCTTAGTCACCGAGCCACAGGTTAGCCCTTTTGAAGATTTTGCTAGAAGAATTATATATGATGAGTATATGCTTCTTCGTATGGTTCAGATTTTTTTTACAAAATCAAGTGAACTTTCCTCCTGTTACTGAGAATTGGTAAGATTTGACTCTATGAATCAAAACATGTTTTCTCCTTCAGTTCCAGGGTACATACATTTCTGGTATGAGCCATAGGTTATGAACAGTACAACTGGCTCTCTCTTGCACATAGCCAGAAATAGGAATCATTTGCTAACAAGAGAGAAAGTTCAAAGAAGCCAAATTTGTAAATGCAAAATGTACCATCTGATGTCTTTTTTTGGCTTTAGTTTGCTATAGGGTGTGGGCTTTTAAAGCACTTTTATTTAAATGACTCATATATTTTCTCTGAGCAAATTGATACATTTGAGGTACTTCCTGGTCTTTTTTTCCCCCCCTTTTATTCTCAAGGAAGTCATAACCCCTAAGTATGTTTTATTATTACTATTATTATTATTATTATTTTATTTTGCTAGCTCAGAAAAGAGTTCCCATCTTTGTGTAAACCTTGAGATTTGCATGGACCTTGGTCAGGATTCCAACCCTTGGTGGCAGAGATAGTAAATAATCCCCCCAACAGATGAGATCTTAAACAGATACTTAAACAGACTGCACTGGTTGGATTCCTTCAACAAGTGTATATTGAACACGTTTCGATAAGCCGTTTTGCACAACCATATACTCGTAGTAACTAATACCTCTGCTGTTAACTTTATGCTTTTGTTTTCCTTTTTTAGGAATACTCAGTGAAAATAAGTAATATTCCTACAATCAAGAGATTCCTTGAACCTGGCAGCAAGAAGAAGCCTCCTCCTGATGAGATCTACGTGAGAACTGTCTGCAACATTTTTAAGTTATAAAACCACACCTTCCTCTGTGAGAGAGAACTTAACTCTAGAGATGGCTGTGCCCACAGTAATATTTTCATTGATCCTAGCTTTGTCCTTGCGCTGTGTATTAAGTTGAGTCTTTCATGTCAAGGAAATCTTCTCTTTTAGAATATCAACTCTTTTTGTCTAGTGAATACTTATAATGGGGCCTTTTTTGTAAAACTTTTTTTTTTTTAAGTTTTGCCATGGGACGCACTAGACGAGTGGTGAAGGAAAGTGAGAAATCACCTTCAGGGGAGATGGCCATGCTGCAGTCCTTTCTCCTTTTGGGATCTTGGGTATGCACACACATGCCCAGCGTGATTTTCAGGCTGTTGACTCTGGGACTCAAATCACCTTGCTGGCCATGTAGGATCGAGCAGCTTAACCTCTACCCCACCTGCTGGCCCTGGAAAACCTTTTTGAAGAGTCTGATATTTAAGTTAGATGTGATCAGGTTATTCATCTCCTGTAGTTCATCTATCTTGATCACAGGGGTGGACGGAATTCAATATTCTCACCCAAGCTTGTTTCACATTCTAATGTGACAAGAAAAAGGAAACACACTACAGTTTCCCCAGTTTTGGTGTCTAATAATGACAGACTGTCTAGTGAATGACTTTCCTCTGTGCTATAGTAAATCAAATGGTGTTAATGAATCTATCCAATAGCACCCAAAATAAAGAATTTACCAAGCATTGTCCTGTTGTTAGAATTTTTAAATTTAACCTTTGGAATACATTTGCATGGTTCAAAAATCAAAAAATATGAAGGGCTGTCCAGTCTTGGAAGTCTTTTTTCAACCTTGCCATCAAACAACCCAGTTTTGCGTCTCACAACAAAGATATTACCTATATATCCTTTCTGTTATAGTTGACACATGTATAAGAAAAAGCAAACAGATATTATTTTCATCTTCTTTCATCTTTATTACCCAAATGATTATTTGTAGGCATCTAATTTTTTGCATCTTAGAACTTAAGGTGCAGCCTATTAATACTTTTTAAGCATGTGTTGATTGACATCTCAGATACTAATTGAGCACCTATTATATGCCAGGCAGGGTGCCAAGAGGAAGAATGGTAGGTCAGAGCCATTCCTCTAGAAAAGTCACCACAGCATGAGGAAAATACACATGTGAACAGTAGAAGTAATTTTGGTTAAGGAAGAATGGCCATGTTTGGAGTATCTACTACTCAGAAATTTATTTATTTAAGTTTGTTTATTTCTTCCAAGAGAGGAGGAAGTGGAGGATACCCCTAACAGGGTCTTTATGCCAATATCAAACCCCAGTTTCAGTTGGCCTGCATCATGGGCACATACATGCCCTTGTGCCCAGCATGCCCAGGAGGTCCTGGGACCTGAACTCAGAACCTCTTCCAAGTGGTTCCAGTTGTGTCACTGGCTGGCCCCATTTAGAAATTTATAAACTGAGGGAAGCAAGTTTTTGATGAAGGTCTCATAGAGAGGACACACTCACTTTCCATTACAGGAGGGATTGGAGGGAGAAAGAAGGGCAATCATGAGATGCTCATTAATGGCTGTCATGGTCAGTGCAAGGGTTTTATGTTTTGACCTGATGAAAGTCAAGCACAAACATTAAGGCAGTGAGAACACGCTGCCATTGCTCTGCATTTAAACTTGCTGGAAGATTGAAGAGTTGGTGGCAAGTGTAGCACCAGGGCAGGCCTAGGAACAGTGGGGTCCCAGGCTGTCGCATCTGGCAGCTCTGGCTAGGCCCTTTAGTGCAGTGGCAAAATAAATAAATAAACAAACAAATAAATAGAAAGAAGGAAAGAGAAGAAAAAAAAAGAGAGAGAGAAGAAAATGGGGGGAGTGAGTGTATAGATAATAATTTTTTAAAGGTTTTTCTCATAAGGCATGTGCACTCACCCGAGAGACAGAGACAATGAGAAGGAAAGTGAGCAATCATCCCCCTTCCCCAGAGGAGATGGCCACATCGTGATCCCTTCTCCATTCTCCTCCTGGGACTTTGGACATACACACACATGTGCCCAACATGATTTTCAAGCACCAGGTTCAGGACTTGAACTGTGGTCAGCCATGTGGGAGTCTAGTACCATAACCGCTATGCCTCCCATTGGCCCCATAAAAAAGAATTACACCTTGTCCAAGAGAGGTCTGATCTTTGCCTCTGGGCGGCAATCTCTAAATCCTTGGAATTGTCATGCTTGATACTGATAAGACCATCTTTGTTGGCCTGAAGTACTTGGCCAACCAGTGCCAACAATGTGATTTGGGGTGAGAGCTTCAGGCCACACCAGCATTGTGGACTTGGGGTCACGTAGTATCAGCTCAGCTCCAGCAGGGGTGAAAACAAAGCAGCCACTTGGACCCCCCCTTAGAAAAACCCTAAACACCAAACTTAGGTAAGTTTCCATGTGTATTGTCACACAGTGCTAGCAGTATTCTTGACCCCACAGAAGGAGGACATCTGGATGCTCCTGTGGACTCAACCCCATGCATCTCCTCCCTTGGCTGATTGGTATCTGTATCCTTCCTCTGTAATAAACCATAGCATGAGTATAACAGCTTTCAGTGAGACCTGTGAGTCCTTGGGAATTCTTGGAACTGAGAGTGGTTTGGATACCCCTCCCTCCAAACTTGCAAGTGCTGTGAGAAGTATGAACCTTCCCCTCTAAACTTCTAATGCTTCTCAGGGAGGAGAAGCATTTTATACTAATTTGGAGATTCATTTGCACGTGGGAACCACACACTAACTGGGTAACACCCTACATTACTGAGTTTTGTGGGATGGCAGCAAATTTGGGCTATTTTATACTGTTACTTTGGTCTGTCTTCACTATCCAGTGCCATTGCCTGATATTGTTAATTGAGGGCTTGCTATGTAGCCCTTAAGGGAATTTTGCAGACATCACTTTTTTGGGTGCTTTAATTCTTTTAAACACAAGGAGGCCCTCAACACTGGCTTTTTTTGAAATGACCAAGGAGGAAGGCTTCTTTGCTGAATTAGAGGATTAGGGGGGAAAAAAAAAAAA